ACTCAGAGACAAATGGAAAAACACTGCACAAGGACAAAGAAGCACACACATTCCGGTCAAGATGGTGGAATAGACAATCCACAGCATGACTCTCCTACAAATCAACCAATTTACAACTATTAAAAAGCAACAACAGCTAAGCTGGGGCCGCTAGAGCTCAGGGGAAGAGGGGGAGAGACCTACAGAATTCATGAAGGCCAGAGAAGCCACAATGAAAGAAAGAAAGGATTGCTCCCACAATTTCAAGCCCCAGCTGCTTCAGGCCTGGCCCTGGTGAGCACACAGAGCAAGAGCTGGCAAAAGCCACAGCTGTGCCATTCATATGAAGTTGCTTGGAGGCTTCAGAGGAGAAGGGGGCTTTGGTGGTGCCCAGACCAGCAAGACCACTAACAGGGTTCCCATGGACCCACATAGGAGCAAGGAACCACAGACAACTGAAAAAAGGAGCCACTCAGAGGCTGGTGAGTTATCACAAGGGGCCAGGGCATGGCCTGTCCCATAGAGTGTTTTTGGAGTGTGGGCGGTGGGGGAGATGGGCCAACTGGAGGAATATTTGGGGACAGCATGGACAGCCGATCTGCCCCCAATCAGCACAAGACCACTCAGTGGAGACCAGTCAGGAATACAGAACTGCAGAGGGTGCAGTTCGCTGAAAAGATTCAGGCCCAGACCAGAGTTTCCACACAACCTGGGTTTCCACACAACCTCAGGAGACTTGGAAGCACCTACAAAGTCAACCATTAAAACCTGAGCTGCACAAAAATCCTTCCCCAGGGAATCGGCAGCAAAGCAGCAATTTAGCTCAACTACAGGGCTCAAGTGCTGGTCCCCACAGGAAGTTCTCCCATTTTAGAAGTAATGAAAGGACAACAAATTAGTTCCAGTATGGAGTTTAAGTGGTGGGAACAGTGAGTAATCCCATACAGAACTGAAAGAAAAAAGAAAATACCCACAAAGTCTGATATTATCTAGTAAAGGTCTAGATAATAACCACCACCAAAGAACACCTATAAAACCTAGAAAGACTGGAAGCACCCTGGGCTTCCAAGCTGGGGCAGTGGGAGGGCCAAGGGCCTCAGCCATGCCCCTCTGACATCTGCAACCAGCCCAGCCATGACTACTGAGCTGCTGCAGGAAGTGCCCTGGGCTCCCAAGCTGGGGTGGTGGGGGACCAAAGGCCTCAGCCATGCTCCCCTGACATCCACAACCAGCCCAGTGATATCCACTGAGCCACCGCTGGAACCTCCCTGTTTTCCCCTGCCAGAATGAGGAGGGTGCCATGTGCCTCAACCAAACCCTCCCTCCTTCCTACTCCTCCCACCATATTTCCTCTTCTCCTCTCCCCTAGCTGCTCTGCAACATCTTAGAATGAAAAAAATAATATTAATAAATAAATGTTAAAAAAAAAACACACATACATGACTTGAGTGGTAGAATCCCTGGTACACCTGGCAAAGACAGGCGGCCACTCCAACTCTATTTAGGTACACTCTAGGTAACAAGAGAGGAGGGGCCGAAGGCAGGGTGTGCCCCAGGCTGGGCTCAGAACTGAGAGGTGGGGGAGAGGAAGGACAAGAGGCTCAGGCAGGTTGAGAGACTGTGGGATTAGGGCTCCCCCATTCCAAAACCAAGGAGCTGGTGCAGAGGGGTTTTTAAGGGATGACTTTGGGGTCAGAGGATAAGAATTTGGGGTTGTGATCCTGCCCTTACAGGCTAAGTTTTTGCACAGGCCAAGAAGCCCTTTAGTTTGGCTCCTGTGTACCAGGCAGTCATGCCAGCCCAGCACTTGGGAACAAGTTCAAAGCTAGAAGCATCTAGACCCCTGGGTTTGTGGCTTAAGCTTGCCCCAAGGTAGTGAAAGTCATAACATAGGCATGGTGCATCTTCTTGGAGGATCAGTTTACCTTCTGGAATTAGTTGGTAACATTAATAAAATGGGTAGCAAATATTATAATGCCTATATGAGATGATGATAATGATAATGGAAAATGCTTCAGACATGTTCACTTGTCCAAGGTCATACAGTGATAGTAGAGCTGGGATAAGAACATATGCAGTAGGGCTCCGGAGTCCATCCTCTGTCAATCAGTATTTATAGATCAAACTTATAACATTAAAACAGTTACATTGATAAATGGGCCTATAAGTTAAACTAAAGGCAGCTTATAACAATTTGGTTGAAGTGAAGACAAAATCCACATGAGTGTTCAAGATAAAGGGCTGGTAATTTTGTGTACATGGCACCGGTTGGGCTAGTCCACAGACCTGAGGAGGAGGTCACTCACTCTCCTGGCTGTTAGGAAGTTTGGGAAGTACTGCCCAGGCCTTGGAGTAGGGTGGATCTCCAGTTGTAGTGTGTATCAGAACACTGGGGGCTTATGAAACAGGTGGCCTCTTAGGTCCCACTCCTAGAACAGATCGCGTTTATTGAGCACATTTATATGCCAGACACCTTTTTACCTATTATCTCATTTACTCATCCCAGTAAATCCATGAGGTCTCCATTTTACAGATGAGGAAAATTAAGCACAGACAGAAGTAAGTTGCAGCAAGTTACTAGTTAATAAATGGCAGGAGTCAATATCCAACCCCAGGCTGGTCTGACTCCAGGTCCAGAACTGCAACCCCTGCACTCTATTGCCCTCATTCCCCAAGATGATCTGATACCATAGGTCTGGAGTGGGGCTGGTAACTTCAGCAAGTGCCCCAGCAGGTCACTGGGCCACACTTTGAGAAGCATTGCTCTACAGCAGCGGTTCTCAATCTGGCTGCACATTAGAACCAGGAGAAGTTTCCAAAACTATTAAAGCCCTTCCCCTCTTTTTCAATTGGCCCAGAGTAGTGGTGGGTGGTGGCAGCTTGCTGATCGGCATTCTTTTTCTAAAGTGTCACAAAGCATTCAATCAATCAACAAAAATGTATGGGCACCCACTCAGTTCCCTGCCCTGCCCTGGGGCTGGAGATACAAAGGTGGGTGGGACATTGTGTCTGAACTCCTGGGGCATAGATGATCTGACCTGCTGGGTGGAGCATGTCCTTAGTGGAAGAGGGGAGGCTGCAGGTTACCTCTCACTGGGTGAGTTCTGGGAAGAGCCAGTCCCCTTCTCAAATGATGCTGCCCTGCTGGCTTCTCCCCTTGTGAGGCCTTTGGCCCCCACGTGAGAAGACAGTTTATTTCAGCCCTCAAACTCAGCTCACAGAACCACAGATTGTCAGAGCTAAAAGGGCCCTCAGAAACCATCTGTGCCCAGAGCATTCAAGCTTTAGTGAACAGTTGACCAAAGTGCTGAGGAGCTTGTTAAATATATTGATGCCAGGAACCCGCCCCAAAAGTTCTGATCTGCAGGTCTTGTGTAGGTCCGAGGAATATGCATTTTTTAAAAAAGCTCCAAAATGGTTCTGAGAGTATACAGCCATAGTTTTCAGCCTTAGCTGCACCTGAAGAAGTCCTGGGGAGTTCTCAGAACACTGATGACCAGATCTCATCCCTGAATAGTCTGTTCAGTATTTTTAAGAGCTCCTCATGGTGATTCCTCCATGTAGCAGGTGGAGACCTCTCCTGCAAGGTGTCTGGGGCTTCCAGCTGGCCTTGTTTAGGATTTAGGGAGGCAGGCACTCCTTGCCACCATCAAGGTTTTGAAACAAGAGCAGAAGATTATAAGAGGAGAAGGAGACAAAAATTAAAAAGCCACTGAAAAGTTTCAGAGGAGAGAAGAGAGAAGCCCAGATAAGAAGCTCCTATTGAATTCACTGGTCAATATCCTGAGGCTTATATCCCTTTTTCTCACAATTTTTTTTTCCTTGTTATAGTAGTAATATAGTATGTAAAAATTGAAAGCATAACAAAAAATGGAACTATAATCTTAGAGATAATCATACAAGGTCTTAATATGACATATATATTGAATAACCATGTTGTCGGTTATAACTATGTATTCTACAATAAATATGTCTAAATTAACATATAGTACATAACCTTAACATGTATAATTAGTATCCTTTTTTTACTCTATTTTTCTGTTTTGCTTATGTAGGGAAAATATAGGAAAATGGTCAGGGCCCCTCAGATGTTCAGAATCTTGCTGAGCATTTGATGTAAATATGCACGTGTGCCCAGGTGTTCCTTAGCTATTGTCTAATGTAATTGCATATGTGCTCCCAGGTGTCCTGGGTAATGGATTTAAGTATAAAGGACAAGTGGCTCTGATCCACTGGGCCCTTGTCCCCGAGATGCCCCTGGTGGGGGGTGGCCACAGAAAGGCTGCTACTGCTGCTGGAGGCTGTTGCTACAAGCTGTTGCTGCCAGGGGTCCCCGGACCCTCCAGGTGGCTGCTGCCGCTGCTGTTGCTGCTGAGGACTGAGCTCGTGTCTTCTGCCAATGGCCCCCAGGATCTTTCTTGATTACCTAGAGCATGGACCTGCGTGTGAAGGGTCTGGGGACCCAGTCTGTACAATGGATTTGGAGGGTCTGAGCCCTAGCCCTGACAATACAAATGGAAAACTTAGTGTAACTAAAATAATGAAACATTTTGGCTTTAGTTATGAATTGCCTAGTCATACAATTAGCGTAGCTATTGCCTCACCTGACAACTGCCGTATATGTAACTTTTTGAAAAAATTTTGCTTTTCAGGTAACTAAAAATCTAAGTGCTAAATCCCTATGCCAGGTTTGGGAGGGCATGTGAGCAAAGTGGAGATGGTGTCACCCATCCCTTTCACGTGTGCGTTTATGCATACATTCACGTGTGCACACTCACAAGTACGCAAGCGTCTATTCCTACCCTGCAATCCTAGACATCATACACTTAAATATACAGTTCATACCCGCAAAGTTACTGGCAGGATTTTATTAAAGTATAAAATTAGTTTCCCCGCTGTTTCTCATTTCTCTGAATTCTAAGGAAAAACGGCACCAGGGGACCCAGGAGGGTGGCCACACTGGGGCAAGCCTTGGGTCCACAGCCCTGGCCGTCCTCCTTCCTCTCCCCTGTCCTAGGGCCTCAGGCGCTCTTCTCCTCCATGGGCTGAGGCTGGTGTGCTGGGCAAAGCCTGTCTCTCCACAGGTGGTAGGTGATGGCTGCGGTCACGGTGAGCCAGGCCAGGTAGGGCAGCTGGAGCAGGACAGCCAGGTGGTTGGTGGGGTGCCAGATTAGCACTGTGCTTACCACCAGCCCGTACAGCAGGAGCAGGGCCTGCACAGAGGGCTAGGGGGGTCAGCAGGCTGCTCCAAGAACCAGCCCCCTGACCTTTCTGCAGCACCCTGGCCCACTGAACCAGGTCCCTGGGGCTCTGTGCTAACAATGCTCATAGAAGTCTGCCCACCTGTTACCTGACAGCACCTGTATGACCTTTTGAATTATTTACTTCTGAGGCTTGGAGGTTTCACCCTCTCCTACATTACTTCTACTCACCAGAGCAGGGCTGTGGGCCCTGAAAAAGAGAATCAGGATGATCCAGCTGATGGCGAGCTGTGCAGCATAAAGGCCGAGAGGCAGGGCCAGGGGTCGCCCAAAGCCCCTTCCCAGGTCCTTCCACACCAGGTAGGAGGCATAGCTATGGAGAGATGGTAGCAGGAACACACAGCAGGAGGGTGTTCCACAGCAAATGGAGGAAGCTCTCTGGCATAAGGACTCCTGGTTACCGGGATGGAACCCTTGCAGGATGAAATGTGGGTCATTGAGTCTAGGCACCATTTGAGGGCCAGGGGGGAGTTGGAGAGGGGATGGGAGACTTAGAGAGGGTGGAAGATGGGCCAGCTGGAATCCCAAGCAGGCACAGAGGGTTTCTGTCTGTAGGACCCACCATAAGAGGCAAGATCCCTTTGCAGACTAGTGTATGGCAGTGGCTCAGATATAGGGGGACTTGTTCTCACCCCAGTGGGTACCAGGATCATGTGTGAGAAACGAATGCTTACCCCATGACAGAGTAGATGGTTATCCGTACAAGCAATAAGACTTTGTGGGGTGGGCACCAGGGCAGACTCCTCGGGCCCTCACACCAACCAGACATCTGCTTGTGAATGAACAGCCAGACCAGGATGAGCCCCAGGTGGGGAAGGACCATAAAGATGGCCCCGTGAGGCCACATTCACCTTGAGGAGGCAAAATCTGGGGAGGCAGAGAACATGCTAATGATGAGCCTTCCCCTCACTCCTTTCCCTGTGTGTCCATGTCTGTCTCTACCAGCTAACCTGATGCTACTCCATGGCCAGAGCCCCTCATGGGAGGGCTGGTCACAAAGTCTTCACCTCCTTGGGCCCAGCTGTAACCCAGCCTTCACTGCCTTGCCCGTTAGCCGGCTTCCGTGTACTTTTCTCCACACCACTCATTTGGCTCTTGGAGGGTACTGTACTCTGTTGCTAACTGCTTCTGAGTTCCCTCCTTTACGTGTTTCTGACTCCTAAAGATCAGGCCTAGGTGTAACCATCCTCTCTATCTCCCACAGCGGACGGTACTTGGCCAGTTATATGGCAGGCGCTTGATGGGACAGTGTCTTACCTAAGCTAAAGACAGGAGCCAGAGATTCCCAGGGCTCTTCTAGTCACAAATGCCCTCCCCCCATCCACTCCACACTTATCTTACTGTACCAAACTGGCACACACTAGGGGCCCACCCAGGCTAATCTGCCCAAATTCAAACTCAGCCGACTGACACTGGATTTCTTTCTCTGAAGCCTTAGCTCTCTTCCACGCTGGGGCCTTAGGGGATGAGGTTCCCCCTTCATCTCTCCCTTTCCAGAGGGTTGGGCTGCAAACACAAGTGTCCAGATTTCTTGTGGCCTGACTTCTAAAGGAAACAACTGCCTAGTCTTTGTTTAAAAAGCAGCCATGCTCATTTGCATGTTGCTTTGTAAGTCATTTGTATGTGGAACAATGCATAGACCTTCCTCCATCCAAGGCCCCCATCCAATATCATTCTTCTCATTTGCTCCCAGTATTTCAGCCTCCCCATGATTGACAGGATTTGAAGGAAAAAGATTATTCTCACTGTTCTGGAGTGACTTCCTAATCCATCCTTTCTCATCAAGGGTCAGGGACACTTGTCCTGGAGGTTCCTGGGACTGGGCTGACCAGCGTGCCTGCCTGTGCATCTTTCTATTTGTCTTTCTCTCTCCTTACTGTCCATGTGCTCATCTTCTGCCTTACTGTCTCTCTGGTTTTTCTGTTTCTATCCAGTGTTGGAGGTCCCCCTATCCAACCCTCCCCACCCCCATCCTCTTTTCCCCTGTTACCTACCACTCCCATGCCTCCTTGTCCCCAGGCCTTGTACTACCCTAACCTCAGACAGCATACCTCCCAGACTGGTGCCTGATGATATATGACTGGTGGAATGCAGAGGAGGGTGGGGCTGGGGAGAAGGGTGGAGCAGGTCTCCCAGCTGCTCTGCCTTTCTCAGATGACAAGGGTGGTGACACTTGGTGAGGAGTCCAGGGTGCCTGCAACAACCAAAGGCTTCCTCTCAGAGTGGGTCCCCTGTTCTGCCAGACCTTTCTTGGTGCCTGGCCTCTGGACGGAGCCCCTTGATGGAATGGTTGAGGGTTTGACATTTTGAGACCCGGATCTCCTGTGATGGCTCAGTGCCAGGCTACAACGCTATTGATTCCTGTGGTCTCTGTATCCCATAAACCAGCTTTCTGCTCATGTGGGTTGGTAGGAGCCCTCAGATTTGTCCAGAGCCTCCCTGTAATTGGGATTGTCCCCAGGTGAAATAAGCACCAGGTTTGGAAATGAGTTCATGATCCATGAACACAGCCCCTGGTTATAGCCTCCTGGTTGGCATGACCCTTCCTGGCTTGGAATGCTAGCTGGACAGACCTTTCATGAACCCCTAGGACTTTATGACTCATAGGAGAAGGCAGACAAGTGGAGGTGGGCGGGGAATTGGGCGCAGTGGCCTGGCACTTCCCAGCAGAGTCCTGCCTTCCAGCTGCCCTAAAGAGGGCTAGGGGAAAGTGTCCCTGTTTATTGGCAAACTCCAATCTCCTGAGTCTCAGAGCTTTGTCCAACAAAGACTAACACCTCCCTTCTTCACTCCCTATCCAAGTTCTGAGCACTTCTTCCTTGCCCATCCTTCAGGCATGAGGTCTCTTTCCCTGGCTGGCTGCTCTCCATCTGTTCCTTTGCTACCTTTCTCCACTTTAGGGAACCAGGCTCCCCTGGGAGGTGTTTATCATACCCTCTCACCTCCACCCAGGGAAGGGAGCAGAGGGGAGGGGGTTGCAGTCAAGGACAAGAGACTAGAGAATCATTAACTTAGATGGAGCAGAGGAAGTTACTTATTTTCTATGAGAAATGATAAGGGGAGCTGGGGGAGTTCACCAGGTTCCTCAACTGCAGAAGCCTAGATCACAGTGACAGCAGTTATCATTTACTGAGCACCCATTCTGTGGTAGGTACTTTACATTTATTAGCTCAATTGTGGTAACTATTATCCCATGCAAGGTCGATATTGCTATCTGCATTTGACAGATAAGGGAGCTGAAGCTTAGAGGGGTTAAATAACTTGCCCAAGATTATATAGCCAGCATGTGGCTCACCTGGATTCAGTGTTAGCAGTCTGGATCCAAAGTGCATCCTCTTCTCTCTCAGCTAGTCCACTCATTCATTCAGCAAGTCTTTGTGGAACACCTACTATGTATCAGGCTGTACTAGGAACTGAGGAGACAGCAGCAAACAGATGGGAAAAAAATCCCTCTCACAGGGAGCTTTTATTCTATTGGTGCCATCTCTCCTAAGGCAGAGTTTCTAAGGACTCAGGCTGGCAAATGACCCCAAATTTCATCTCTCACTCAAGGGTGGCAACTCTGAGCGTGGCAGTGGACAGAACACGGGTGGGGAGCGGATATGGGTACCTCCCACTGCTCTGGGCATCTTGTCAGTCATTAACCCTCTCCGCTGTCTTCCCTGTGCAGAAAGAGGGTGGAACTAGATACTGTCTAAACTCCCTGGACCGACTGCATTGGAATCATCTGGGAGCTTCGTACAGCTGTAGAATCTCTGGCCCCATCCCAGACCTACAGAATCAGACCCTGAATTTTTACAAGATCCCCGAGGTGGTTTGTGTACATAGTTTGAGAAGCTCTGGTTGAGGTTCCCTCCTCCTCTTACCTCCTGCCATTTTAATAGTCTCAGGCTGGGGACAGCTACTCACCACCAGAGGACACTATTAGGGAGGGGTTTCAAGGTGCAGCACTGGTACCCAGGCTGTCTCCTTCCTCTCATCCCGTCCACACCTAGACTGTTAAGTTCACTCATTTCTGGGATCCTCAGCTACTCCCCAGCCTTGGCTGGAGTTTGCCAACAGACAGGGACACTCTCCCCTGGCTCTCTTTAGGGCAGCTGGGAGGTAGGACTCCTCCGGGAAGTGCCAGGCCACTCCTGCCTGATTCCCCGCCCACTTCCACTTGTCTGCTGGCTTGGCGACTGGGTCCAGCTGACCTCTCTGTTTCTCAGAGAAAAAACTTGTTACTAGAGAAGCCAGAAACCTTTGAGAGCCCCGGACCATAAGGTAAGCACCCCCCTTGGGCAGCTGCAGGGGGGAGGTGGGCATTGGGATGGTGTCACCTGGGGCTCAGGGGAGGAGCCAGTTCAGCTCAGTCTAGCCTGCCAGAGTGTGGGGACTCTGTTGGAAGAGGGGAAGAAAATAGGACTTGTGGAAGGGTCCCAGATATGAGGACCATGGGATGTTCTGTGTACTGTGGAAAGGTACACTATGCCAGTGAGTGCTGTCCATGACTTAGGTTTGGACTCATCCATCCAGTATGCTTATGTCCTGCAGTAACTGGAGATCTAACAGGTGTTGGGGAGGCATGGCGAGAACCAGTGAGGTGGGGGAAGGGTATGAGCAGAACTGTGCAGAAGGAATCTGATCTTTGTGCTGTGCAAGGCAACTACCTAGGGACAAGTGATGGCAGCATAAAGGGAACCTCGCTTTGAGGAACTTCTACCCAGGTGATCTGGGGTCTGGGGGCAAGACACACTGCAGGAGCGGGTAATGAGGAGTCCAGGCATGGAGTCGGGAAGCTCCAATCCACCCTTGAATACCTGCAGAGCTGTAGACTCCACTCAGCAAATCTTGGGACCCTTCACTCTCCTGGGGCCAGAGGGAGGATGGAGTGAGGGCCAAGGCAGCCTGGGAGACCCAGGCTGAGCTGGGGGAGGAGTTATCCTGCTTCAGGCTGGGTAAATGGATGGGCTTCTCATGGGAGGCAACTGCTCCAGGTTAGGAGGCTGGGCAACGGGACTCCACTTGCACCACCCAATGGGGTGGAGGGGATTTGGACTCTGGTCTTTGGAAGCCCCAGGAAAGTTGTTACTGTAGAAACAGAGCAAGTTCTCTCCTTTTTTTCACTTCACCTGGCCCATCCCCCACTACTGGTGCCTCGGTGGGTAGGGGGTGGGAGGGTGTCACCTACCATGGAACCAAAGATGTGCCTTAAGTTCCTTCTATTTATTTTTACTTTATTTTTGTTTCCCTTCTAACTGCATTTCCTCTAGAGGAGGAAAGGAGGAGACTTGGGAAAAAGGAAGGAGTGGGCAGAGCAAGGAGATGTTTCTGGATGTCCTCGTCATCCCTGCTCATCTTTCCTTTCTGCCTTCAGTTGTTGCTTAACAATCTCCCATCCATCCTCACTGTGGGGAGAAAACTCAGCCTCCTTATCTGTGAAATGGAGATAAAAATAACACTAGCTCATAGGGCTGCTGTGAGAATCTAATGAGATAAGCCACCTAGAGTGCTTTAACACAGTGGCACAGAGTAAAGCTCTGTAAATGTTAGCCATTATCATTGCAGTTAGATTTACAATTACTACTAATGTGGAAGAACCAAAAGGAATGCATGGGACATAACGGAAAGCTGCTGTCCCAACCCCCATTCCCCCCAGATTTGGGCACTGCCAGCCACCCTGATTTACCCAGATTCCCTGCAAGAGGCCTGGCTGCAGAAGGCTGGTGCACTGTCTGCAGGGTTGGATTTTAAGGCAAAAGGAACAATGGCAAACCCCTCCCCCTTCCCGTCCACATTTTCAGTGAGGACACCGGGGAAACAGGTCCTGCCCCCATCTTCCATCCTGAGGATGCAGAGGAGCCTGTGCCCCAGTCTGGAAGGGGCTAGGAAAGGGGCCTAGTTTTCATGGGTCCTGAAGAAGGAAAGGAGAAGGTAGGCAAAGCCTCAGCTCCAGGCAGATTTGTGAGTGAAGGGAGTGGAGAGGAATGGACACCAGAAGCTTTCCCCATGCAGACCCCAGGGAATCAACCAGAGGGGCCTTTGAAGACTTTGAGAAAGGACATTGTGCCTCATGGAACTCAGCTGCCCAGCCAGTTAATTCCGTTCCCTCAGCAGCCCCTTGAGAGCGGAAGACAACGTCGTCTTTGGCAGGATTGAACTTCCCATAGTGCCTGATACACAGCCGGTGCTCAGAGAATGTTGATTTGAGTGGGAAAACCACACATAACTGTATAATTACAGGCCACTTGGTAGGGTGGGAGGGCAGTGCAGAAAGATTTCAGAGTGTAGGCTGATGGGGGCTGGTGTGCCAGGGGGAGGCGCTATTGAGCAGGTGGGCAGCTGAGGCAGGTGGGGAGAGTGAGGGAGGGGAGAAGCAGAAAACAGCTTGAGCCAGATCTGGCCAGGGGCTGGAATCAGCTAGGCATGGGGAGCCCAGTCTGGCCAGAGCATAGGAGGCTTGAAGAAGAAAGTTAGGAGGGGGCAGAGGTCAGTGCCAGAGGGCCTCAGGAAGAGCTGCTGGAAAGTCTCAACCTGCGGCCTCCCCAGGTAAAGGTGAGTGGGCGATTAGAGTCTGCTTTTGCCCTGCCTCATTCCAGCCTCCCTGTAGGCTCCCACCTTTGTTTTCTTTTTCTGCTTCCACTTTTAACTTTTGTTACTCTTTTTGTATTTCATGTATCCCTGTGAGCTACCTTCAGACCTTTCTGGTGGAAAGAGGGTCATAAATAAACCCATTTAGGCAGTGCTTTATCATCTGTAAATGTTTTCCACGTGATCTCAGGCCATTCTCACACTCACCTGAGAGGTATTCCCACCCTTGCCCCCCCCACTTTAATAGCTTTTAAAAAGAATTACATCGTATAAAATACATGCTTAGTGTGAAAAATTCAAATGATATAGAAAAAAAGGTTTAAGAAAATTTTAAGTCCTTGTTCACAGCTTCCACCCTCTCAATTTGTCGTGTCTTTTTAGTCATGACCAATAGGAATAGTTTGGAGATGTATCCTTCCAGACCTGCACTGTCTTAAGAAAATTTTAAGTCCTTGTTCACAGCTTCCACCCTCTCAATTTGTCATGTCTTTTTAGTCATGACCAATAGGAATAGTTTGGAGATGTATCCTTCCAGACCTGCACTGTCCGAGACAGAAGTCACCAGTACACGTGGCTACTGAGCTCTTTAAATACAGCAAGTCCCAATTGAGATGGGCCATATGTGTAAAATGCACATGGATTTCAAAGCTTTGGTATGAAAAAAATCTCATTAATAATTTCATATTTATTACCTTTTGAAATAACATTTAAAATATGTTGATTTAAATAAAATATTTCTCCTGTTTCTTTTTAACGTGGATACTAGAAAATTTAAAATTATATGTATGGCTCACATCATATTTTTATTACACACTACTCCAGACCTTTCTCTACATATACAAACACACATCCATAAATATGTATCTATAGTTGTATATAGTTTCCTTTTTATATTTATGAAGTCAGAGGATGTCTATCTCTCTGTGACTTGCTTTTTCCACTTACAGATTTTTCTGTATCAACACTTGTAGATCAAGGTAGATATTTTGACAGATGAAGAAACTGAGGTATGTTAAGCAATATGACAACCTTACTCAGCCACAGTGACCAAAGAGGCCATTTGAACTTATGTCCTTTAACTCTAAACCCAAGCTCTTTCTGCCTCAGAGGAGTTTACCTTAATGTACTAGGTCATAGGGAGCCATGGTAGATTCTTGAGAAAGAGAGAGAGGGTGAAGTTCTGTTAAAGGAATTGATCTGACTGGGGGTGTGCTGGAATGAAGACAACTTGCTTCCTCATTGCAGACACATGGAAGCCAAGTCATGACCTCTCCAACTTAAAAAGGCTTAGCCTGGCACTGAACCCTTCTTTCTCCCAGGCCCTTGTCCTTGGCTGGCACAGGGGTGCAGAAGAGCCGGCAGCAGTGAGTGACCAGGCTGATGTGCCCCCAGGAGAGTTCCTTCCAACCTTCCCAGTTCATACTGCTGGTGGGGGTTCTGGTGGCAAGTGCCCTCCTTCTGGCCCAGTGCCTTCGATGGCACTGTCCTCGATGGCTGGTGGGGGCCTGCCGGAAGCCAGATGGCCAAGAGGAGCCAGTGTCCCAGCCCACCCCCCTACCAGAAAATGAGGCGCCAAGTCAGTGCCCACCAGCCACACTGCCGGAGATGGCTGCCTTCTACCAGGAGCTGCACACACCCACCCAAGGCCAGACCATCATCCGCCAGCTGATGCACAAACTCTTGGTGTTTTCTGCTCGAGAGGTGGATCACCGTGGCGGCTGCCTGATTCTCCAGGATACGGGCATCTCCCTGCTCATCCCACCAGGTAACAGCTCTTGGCTCCCTTCTCAGCATCGGTTTGTTCAGACTGTGCATGAGGGAGCACATTCATAGACATCTCTATAACTTAAATTATTTGTAGGCCTAGTATAACTTCATTAATTCCAAAGATGGTCATGTTACATATCTTTTAGGACAACTTCCTGGCAGGTGGACGTCAAGTGCCTGTTCTAATGAATCAGTGTGCTTGACAATTTTCCTGTAAAGGGAAGGAAGAGCCCCATTTGCAAACTTGCACAGGGTACTGTATGGTGGCAGCAGCCCCTGGAGAAAGGGAGGTGACTTGCTTAAGATTACACCACAAGTCAGCACACAGTTGTCTTGCTCTGTTTCCATACTACCCCCCCACAAGCCCTGCCTCCCCGTCTCCTTTCCTGCTCTGACCTGGCCTCATCCAGGTCCAGATGAGGCCCATCTCAGCTCTCCATCTCACCAGGTGCTGTGGCTGTGGGCCGCCAGGAGCGGGTGTCACTGATCCTGGTGTGGGACCTATCGGATGCCCCATCACTGTCCCGAAGCCAGGGGCTGGTAAGCCCTGTGGTGGCATGTGGCCCCCACGGGGCCTCATTCCTGAAGCCCTGCACCCTCACCTTCAAACACTGTGCCCAGCAGCCCAGCCATGCTCGCACCTACAGCAGCAACACGACCCTGCTCGATGCCAAGGCCTGGAGGCCCCTGGGGCGGCCGGGGGCTCATGCCTCCCGGGATGAGTGTCGCATCCACCTCTCCCACTTCAGGTAGGCAGTTGCCCATTGGCCTAGAGTGTGGGGAGTCTACCTCTTCTCTCTGGGGCTCTGTTTCCCACCCCTTTTCTCTGTCTGCTTCATCCCTATCTCTGTATAGAACTCCTTATCTGTCCAAGATGGTCTGCAAATCCCTTATCCCTTGCGTCCCTTGTCCTGATGTCTGTGGCAGCTTGTCTTGGTCCAACTCTGTCTCTCTAAAGTTGTCCTTCTGGGCCGGCCCGTGGCTCACTCGGGAGAGTGCGGTGCTGATAACACCAAGGCCCCGGGTTCGGATCCCATATAGGGATGGCCGGTTAGCTCACTGGGTGAGCATGGTGCTGACAACACCAAGTCAAGGGTTAAGATCCCCTTACCGGTCATCCTTTTAAAAAAAAAAAAAAAAAAAAAGATAAAGTTGTCCTTCTCTAGCCTGAGGCTCTGAAGACTGTCCCCAAACTGTCTAGGGCCATTTATCCCCTTCAGTTCTCTTTTTTGGTGGCTGGTCAGAATGGAGATCTGAACCCGTGACATTGGTGTTATAAGGCTGCACTCTAACCAGCTGAGCCAACAGGCCTCCCCTCCAATTCTCCAAGACTGTGTTCCATCTCATGCCTGTCCTCCATCTCTGTCTTTCTAGGATCTTGGGTCCTCTGCCTCCTAGTCTCCTTGTCACGCACTGACCAGAGCATTGCCATGTATGGGACCCCTCTCAACCATGGGGACTCTGAGTCCACCTTCCCTCTCTCCCCTGCCAGAGAATACTTTCCAATCAGTGATAATCACCTTGACATACTCACTTTTTGAACCCCTAGCCCCCTCCTCAACAGTTCCTTCCTGTATGGCCCTCCTGGAATGCTCTCCTGGCCTCCTTGGCGGCCCTACAGAGATCCCTCATGTGTTGGAGCCTGGGGGTAGGTGTGCTGGTGTCTCAGCCTCTCCCATGCTTGGGTGCATGGGTCCCTGCCACCCTCTTCCTCTGCAGCCTCTACACCTGTGTGCTGGAGGCGCCAGCAGGGCGGGCAGCCCGCAAGTGGCTGCAGCTGGCTGTGTTCTGCTCCCCGCTGGTGCCAGGGCAGTCTCACCTGCAGCTACGCATCTACTTCCTCAACAACACGCCCTGTGCCCTGCAGTGGGCTGTGACCAATGAGCAGCCCCATGGTGGGCGCCTGCGTGGGCCCTGCCAGCTCTTCGACTTCACTGGGGCCAGAGGGGACCAGTGCCTGAAGCTCATGTACATCTCTGAGGGTGAGGAAGGCGAGGCTTGAGAGTGCAAAAGGGAGCCCCATGAGAAGGTGGGGTTCAGGGCTTCCCCCTGGGCTGGAAATCTAGGAACTCCAACTTCTTTCTGAGACTCCTGGGCCAACAGCATCCTTAAGGATATCTCTGGCTTCTCTTGCTGCCTCTGGGAGCCCCCACGCTTTGTCCACTTTCTCCCTCTGCTGCCCATTCAGCCTTTGCCACCCACCCCAGGACAGGGTGATGCTAGGTGGGGGTTGGGGAGGAGAGATGTCATGCCCCCCAGGAGCAGGGAGGGAGGGTGATGCTTTTATCGCCCACCTGGATGGTGCTGGCTGGGAGGAGGGTTCTCTCCCAGTGTTCTCTGCTTGGGCCCTCTTTCCTTTATGGCCTGTGCTGCTGGAGTTGCCCATGGGCCCACTGCGTGTGTGTCGTAGACAGGGCATACAGCACACAGCTGCTTCTGGGGTGTGGGAGTAAGGCAGGGTAGGGGCTTTGTGTGCTGTGCACGTGGAGGGAGTGTGTGGTGTAGAAGCAAGACTATTTTCGGGGTCCTTTGCTCAGGCTCTGGGGCTTCCCATTCACTTGAGACCCCCCTTCCTTTGCTCTCCTTGGGCCTCGCTACACCCTCTTTAAATACTTGTGGAAGGCCCCGCTCTCTGAGGCCCTCCACTTTCTGTCCCCTCCCCAGGCTGGGAGAACGTGGATGACAGCAGTTGTCAGCTGGTTCCCCATCTCCACATCTGGCATGGAAAGTGCCCCTTCCGCTCCTTCTGCTTCCGGAGAAAAGCAGGTAGTCCAGGAGCCCCATGTCCAGCTCCTGCCCTCTCTTCTTCCCTCCTCTTCCAACCCTGGAGCTCTGCCGCCCCTCTCTGGGCCATGCACGCAGAGCTTCTCTTAAAGGTGAGGAGCCACAACAGATCTTTTTAGAGAGAAAGGTGGAATGTCCTCCCCGGCTTCTTCAGATTCCCAGAGTCTTACTGTAGAGTCCCTTTGACGTTTCCTCCTTTTCTTACCCTGGGCCTTTCCTTTCTCACTTGCTACACCATTGTCTTTTTTTTTTTTTGTAGCCAATGAGAATGAGGACTGCTCGGCACTAGCCAATGAGATCATTGTCACCATGCACACCTTCCAGGACGTGAGTTGGAGCTGAGGTGTAGAGGAAGGGCAGGGCCTGGGAGGAGTCCTGGGCAAAGTGGGTGAGCATTCTGGTACCAAGTAAGTGTGGTCCTAATCACATAATCAAATAGGTGAAGATGGCATTTTGTCACAGGGCATCCACACCAGTTCTTTGAGGGGTTAGACTATCTGGTCTCCAAAATACCCTCCATCCTTGACTCTCTTCAGTCTATTAGTGGCTGAATCCAGCAGGAGTTTAAAAGAACCAAACCCTAGATTAACTCCTTCTCCTAACTCGGGGAACTGGAGCATCAAGGAGACATGATTTTTTTCTAGGCTGATTGTCTACGTCTGAGAGATTATTATTTTTTTTAACTGTGTCATGGAGAGTGATCAGGAAGGGGATCTTGAGTAGGTGGGATGGGATTTAGGTTTCTCCTCCCACCATGCCAAGGGAAGACATGAAGAAATCAGAGAAAGAGCCTTTGGGGGAACTGTAGTGACAGCTCAGTGGGAGGTAGGCAGATATCCTCAGATTGTCACTTGAGGAAGAGGAACCAGGGAAAGTTGGAGTGGAGGGTAGAGGGTACATATACCTGAGTTCAGTGTCTATTATTGGATGACATCCTGCTGCCCCATGACCCCACCCAGGACTTCTGGTGGCTTAGGGTTCAACCTGTTTGGTCTTCATGTCCCAATTCCCAAGGAGCTTAGTGGACAAACTTAAGGCTGAACGTAGGGTTTGGGAGTCAGGGAAGCAGAGGGTAGAGGGTGCTGCATGGGGTGGGGTCGTATCTCCTGCTAAAGAGGCTCTGGGTGATAGGCTGAAGGAGAGACAGGAGGATTGGAGGTAGGATCTCAGCTTCTTAGGGGGATGTATTATGACCCCTAAGTGTGTTCCCCACCCTTCTGTTGATTCAGGGCTTGGAGACCAAGTACATGGAAATCCTAAGATTCCAGACGTCAGCGGAGGAATCCTGGACAGCGCCACCCCCTGTCTCCCAGCCGCCCCCATGCAATAGGTCAGGTGGGGGTTGCTTGGGCTGCTGCTTGAGGGATGTTTGGGATTTCTGCCCCAGCACCTAATACAGCATTTAGGGGTATGTATGGGAGAACCAGACTGGCCTCTTTCATCCTTCCCTCCAAGAGCACCCTTTTCCCCCTGACTCAGGCTGCCCCCAGAGCTCTTTGAGCAGCTGCAGATGTTGTTGGAGCCAAACAGCATCACGGGCAATGACTGGCGCCGACTGGCCTCCCACCTGGGGCTCTGTGGCATGAGAATCCGGTAAGAAGAGGGGTGAGGACTGTGGATGGGAGAGGAGGGTGGACTGTAGTAGGAAGGACCCTCAGGACACACTGGGGACTTGATCATAGACAAGGGAGTTACGTAGAAGTCAGAGAATGGCTACTCCCCACCCTATTCCCCATGAAGGGCAGCTCTTTGTATTTATCACTGTGTTCTCATTACCTAGAATGAGGCCTAGCTCATAGTAGGTGCTCGATAAATATTTTAACAATGCATCCATTAACGTGCAGGCCACTGGGTACATAACAAGTGCTTCCATGCTGTGCCCTGAGAAGCAGAAAGGCAGATTTTACAGTGAAGTGTGTTAAGCATGTAGCTGGGCGCCTGGCACATGTTAATTCAACGTTAGCAATAATGGTGGCAGTGCAGCCATGGTCCTGTCAAGGAACTCACAAAGAAATCAGTAGGAGAACAATTCTCAGCTAAGCCCCAGAACCAGACTGAGTGCAGCTGTCAGAAAAGACTTCACCCAGAAGCTGGGGCTAGAGCTGAACCCTGAAAACAGGGTGGATTTTCAAATCGTTTATTTAAGCATTTATCAAGTACCTACTGTGTTCTGGAAACTGCTAAGCACTTAAGAGGAATGAGATGTGGTTCCAGCTCCCAGTAGCTCACACTCTAGTAAGGGATACAGAGAACTTAAAAACTGAAGGCAAGTGTTCCTTGTGCCTTCTTCTATGTGTCTGATATTGCCTAACATTGAAAAGAGGGACACAAAAGAGCTGGGGTGGAAATAATGAATCGTAGGAGCTATGACTGGAAGTCAGTACTGAGGGGTACAGCATGGTCTCTTCCACCTAGCAGGTGGGGATTGGAATGGCTTCAGGGAGGAGGTGATCAGCAGTTCTGTATGCAGGGGCCACTGAGGAGGTTGTGGGTGTGGTGTGTACAAGGTGGGAAAGGAAGTTCAGGATGGGAGGAGGGAGGAAAAGGTCAGAGAGGCAGGCAAGCCCAGGTGGTGGATGAGCCAGAAATTTAGGCGAAAAAGACTCATGATAAGAGCCATGGTTTAGACCAGCTTTTTCTTTAGTGGTGGGCAGGGTGTTGTTGCCTGAGAGAGAGGGAGGAAGGAGCCAGGTCTCAGGCAGGGGTGGGGTGAGGAGTGTTGTTTGCAGTGAGGGAGGCAGAGAAGGCGATTACAGAGTATCAGAGCTGGAAGCAACCTTAGAGGTCTTCTTATCTAAGCCCTCAGCTTAAGAAGAGGAAACTGAGGCCTAGAGAGTCAGGCCCAGCGAGTTAACCTCAAACCAGGATAATTTCAGGTTTCAAATTCAGGGGTCTCTGGCTGCTCCAAGTCCCTGTTAGGCAGGCCAGAGCAGGAGCAGACGAGCTGTGGGGTGGGATGGGGGAGGGGTGGACCTCCCTCCTGTGCCAACCCAGGGTGCCTAGCGGAGGGGAAGACCCCCTTCTTCCCCACTCCTCCTCCCCCACCTCCTGGCTAGGTTCATGTCCTGCCAGCGCAGCCCTGCCGCAGCCATCCTGGAGCTGTTTGAGGAGCAGAACGGCAGCCTGCAGGAGCTGCACTACCTAATGACCGTCATGGAGCGGCTGGACTGCGCCTCCGTCATTCAGAAGTACCTGGGTGGGTCGCAGGGTGGCAGCCCAGCCCCAGGCCGCTCGGGCTCCCTGGATAACCAAGGTCTGGAACTGGACGAGAAACTCTGAGCGCCCTGCTACGGCGGGGCAGGGGGAGACGCCGGCCGGTGGATGTGCTCCCTAAGCCTAAGAAGAACTCAGTAGCTGTCACTGGCTGTGGCCACCACCCTCCTTGGAACACTCGGACGGTGCCTGGGGACCTTGCCAGCCTCCCCGCGTCAGGACCGGCCTTCAGGTCCAAACTATGTCCTGCATGCAGAACCCCTCTTGGCCAGCAGGGGGCGCGGGAGCCCAGGAGATGGCCACAGCACGGCCAGCCTCCTGCAAGCTATGTAACAGACCAAGTGCACTGTCATGTTGCCCTGTGGGCACTCCCTGGGGACTGGTCAGTCCGCAAGTATCACTTTGTAAGATCCAGCACTGGCCTGGTACCATGCGGAATACTAGACTCTATGAAATAGGGTCTGGAGCCTTGACAAGCACACGGTTTGCTTGCGGGAGTCAAGATGTGCTCATCTGAGCTGAGGGCAGAGTCTACAACAGCATGTACCCCGTGGTGAGGGACTGTGGGTGTGTAATCAGCCATACTGTGCTGTAGGAGCTGAGAAGGGAGGAGGCTGAGTGTGGGCTGGAGCAGAAGAATGCTTCCCTGGAGGATGCTGGGGAGAGAGGATTTGGACTTGCAGAATGGGTCAGAGATCTTTAGGTGGAGGTAAGGGGGAGAAGATGATGGAGCTCGGTAAGAGCCAAGAGTAAGCATGGAGGGCTGGAGGCACAAGGAATCCAAGCCGGTGGCTGTGAGGTGAGGGTAGGATGAGGGTTCAAGGGCAGATCTAGAGATGGGCGGTCATACCTGGCTTTCCAGGCCTGCCTCCTTTACCTTCCTTTATCTTTACCCTCCTGCTCATGCCTTCATCTTCCCCTGTCTGCCTTTATTTCTATCATAGAACATTAAAGCTGAGGAGAAACTTCAAGATTACCATTCTTGCCCAACCTTTTATCTCTTTATCTCCAACTGTTTTTTTTTTTTTTTTAAAAGATGACCGGTAAGGGGATCTTAACCCTTGACTTGGTGGTGTCAGCACCACGCTCTCCCAAGTGAGCCATGGGCTGCCCCCCCCCCCCAACTGTTGAGTTTTAAGTCTTTCTGAGTTCGTTTTTCTGTCTGTCTCCTGCAGTTGCTCCATCTCTGAATCTGTGTCTCATTCTGTTATTTTATGTTGTAGCATCTTTTTGTCTCTATCTAGTTACTGTGCCCTTTGTGTGTTTCCTTCTCTCTCTGAAACCCTCAGGCAAATGTCTCTAAACCAATATTATATATCAAAGGCTATTGAAAGAGACTGGGCTACCCTGGGAATCGATGGGTGGAGATATTTTCCCCATGAATCAAGATCCAGCTTATGGTCAAGAAATAAAGGATAGGGATTAAGGAATACCCCATCCAATCAACAAATATTTACTCAGCACCTACTATGTGTCAGACACTGCCTACAAAAGAGATGAATGGGCTCAGCCCTGAAAAGAGAACAAAGGATTTGACTCATTCTGGTAATGCTTTTGTTTGCAAACAGGTGTTGTTAATTTGTTTAAGGGCATGAAAACAATCTCTGGTAACAGTAACAACATGTTTCTGTATTTAAAAAATATTAAAACCTTTTCTATGATGAATGATAAAATATGAAAATTACCGTTCTTTGTTACTGACTGTATTTTGCTCAGATTGGTAAATTTGGATGTAGGTATGAATGGTTTTCGTTGGTGAAACTGTACCTATGGGGACAGGCTGAAGGGAAGGATTTTGTAGATTGTGCTTCCAGTATGAAAATTGCCTGGATCTAGCATGGTAAATTGGGGAGGTTTACTTGTATTTCCCTTTCTGTTAGAAGCAAAGCTTCAGAGTCCAGCCCTTCTATCCATTCCCTCCTCCCTACTCTCCTCCTCCATCCTCCCCACTCCACCAGGGGCAGCCAGTCACTCCAGGTTGGTGCCTTGGCCTTTCCCCCCTACAATTGGCTCAGGATTGGACCGTGAAGAGCATCTTTCTCCCTCATAATCCCAGCACTGTTTTTGCATGGTCTTCCATGGACTCTTCCTTGCTCTCCAAGCCATTTAAAGTTACCTCTGTGTTCCTTCCTACCTTGGAACAAATGTTTTAAGGGTTTTGGGTTTTCTGGAGTTGTGAATAGAAGCCACAAGGATTCCTGTGATGGGACAGAATGCTTTTTGGCTCCCATCCCGATTTCTCAGAATGGATTCCCAGTGCTGGCAAAGGGAAGCTTAAAAATACTGGGGTAGGTGCAGACTGCAGGATTCCTGTAGGCAGTACCCTTCCTTTCTCAAACCCAATTGGCATGTATTTACTGGCACCTAAAGCCAAGAGATGAGGTATTCCATGGATACAGGAGAATTAATGCTTAACCCTGGCTGTTGTGCTAACTAGAATAGCTTTCATCTCTCTGGACTCAGTCTCTTCACCCTTGGAATGAGGTGACCATATTAGAGGCTCTCCAGGGTCCTCCTTTGATTCCATAGACCTGTGCAGAGATGGTACATTCTCAAGAAACATTCACTTGGGGATTTTTTTTCTTTGTATATTGCCTTTAAATAGAACAATTGATCACTGTCTATGGCCTTACCTCCAGCCCTTTCCCTGATAGGTTACCTGCTTGGTCTCTAAAAACAACAAATTTGTGACTTCTGCTGCTCTACATGTTTTAGAGGCCCATGTCTAAACTTCCACTTGTTGGGTTAGAGTCTGAGGAGTCAGGTGGGGGAAATGATGGTGAGGTCAGGCCTAGATCTGTAGGGTTAGAGCCTCCAGTGCTCACAGATATTATAGGTCCTCAGCATCCTTTCTGACTGCTGAGTGACATTCGCACTAAGGTTCAGATCTGTGCTGTCCAACAGAAATACAAGGAAAGCTACACATATAATTTTATGTTTTCTAGTGGTCACATAAAAAAGTGTAAAAGATTAAGTCAATTTTAATAATATATTTTGTTTAATATATGCAGAATATTACCATTTTCACATGTGATCAGTATAAAATTAATGGCATATTTTATATTCTTTATTAAGTACTAGGTATTTGGATTCTGGTGTGTACGGTTCCAGCACATCTCAATTTGTATGCTAACTTTTTATTGGGATTTTATTGATCTATATTTAGCTTTTATAAAATTTACATTTTACATAAACAAATTAAACAAACTAAACATTTTCCAAAAATGGAATTAGGTATCAGCTTTAAAATTTAAGTTTATTGACACAAAATAATAACAGTTCCTCAATTGCACTAGCCACACTGGAAGTACTTAGTAGCTATGTGCAGCTAGTGGATACTGTTAATGGACAGCACAGTTCTGGATTATGGATATTACTATATAGTGTACTGGATCATTCACTCATTCATTCATCAAACATTTGCTGAATACCTACTCTGTACTAAGCCCTGCACAAATTGTTGGTGATAAAAATTCAATGAAGAAGAGCATTCTTGTTCTGAAGGAGCCCCTGAGATGGTGGGAGTCAGAAGGAAGGGCACTTTTCTTCCATCCTCCTTTGCACCTGACTTGAGAAGAGAATGGGGGATGAGGTCCAGGCTAGTGCTCTGTTGTGGAAAGCTTCCACTGCAGCCTGGTGTAGAGGCAGTGGATCCAGAGTCAGGTGTTCCTGGCTTACCCAGCACATGAGGTGGGTTGTTGGTTGCTGACAACAGAATCCACTCTAGTTGGTTGAGGCGAGTAGGATTTACTAAAGGATACTGAAGTATAAACAATCACTTGGAGGGCTGGGAAATATGTTTGAGGTAAAGTTTCCAGGAATGATGCCCTGTAGAGCCAGCTCAAGGGGGGAGACTGGTAATCACTGCAGCTGCTTGCTGCTGAGCACTAGACATGAAGAACTTGACTTTACTGCAGCCACTCCTGCCACAACCACTGATGCCACTTCTGAGTTGGGAACCAGACGACCTCACCACCACCTCTGAAAGCTGAGGTCTCTGCTACCATCTGTGCCAGCAAAAATGGAAGCTCTGTGCATTGCCTGTTTCTTCATGCTGAAGAATCACATCTCAAGTGGTTATCAGGTTATCAGATCCCAGATCACATGCCTGAATCCCAGCTGCAAAGACATCTGGAAATTTGAATTCCAACTCTGATATTGGGGAGGTGGGACTCATTACATGCAAATATCCCCCAATATGGAAAAACTACTGAAAAGTTGATGGGAAGCCACAAATATGACAAATGTCTACTACAGCAGTCTGCTACTACCACAGTTAATGCCATGGACCCAGGTAGCAAACTCTCTTCACAAGAAGAGTCATCCTCTGAACAGGCACCAGTGTGATACCACCAACCTTCAGAATCTTCTCAATAAAGCTTGACTGCACATCCCTCAGGATGTCTCTCATGCTGGTATTCCCAAGTGTGATTCTGTAATCCAAAATCAGACCTTGACACATTTCGTAACTGCTATGGTCTGAATGTTTGAATCTCCCCAAAATTCATATGTTGAAATCCTAACCCAAAGGTTAGGGGTGTTGGGGCCTTTTGGGAGGTGATTAGATGATGAGAGCACAGCCTTCATGAATAGGATTAGCAGCCTTATAAAAGAGGCCCCAGAGAGCTTCCTCACCCCTTATACCATGTGAGGACAGAGGAAGAAGGTGTTGTCTATGAACCAGGAAATGAGCCCTCACCAGACACCACCAGAATCCTGATCTCAGACTTCCCAGCCTCCAGAACTGTGAGAAATAAATTTCTGTTGTTTATAAGCTGCCCAGTCTATGGCATTTTGTTATAGCAGCCACAGTGGACTAAGACAATGAGTACACAGCAAAAGCTCACCAATGGTGGTGAATTGGTTTACTCAGTGCCTTCTCCAGCCCCGCAAGCCTTCCTGTATTGCAGAATCTTCCTGTATTGCAGAAACTACATTTCCCAGATCCTTTGGTGGTTGGGGTTCTAGGTATGTCTAGGTTCTGCCAACCAGCTGAACTCAGGCAGGACTTTGATTTGGAATTGAATAATGCAGGGAGTTGAACAGGGCATGAGGCTGGTGCTTAT